GGGCCAGGGAGCTCGGGCGAACCTCCTGCCCTCGCAATGCAGATTCAGCATCGGAGCTCAAATCTCTGATTCCACACCCCGGGGCTTTCCTTGACATCCCATAAAGCAGCATCATGCGTTCCATCCAGGGATCACAGTGATGAGCTGTTTGCCTGGAGAAGAGACACAGAAGGACTTCCTGACACAGGCCACGCCTCCCGACTGCCACCTCCGCCCATTCCTTCAATGGGTTGGAAACTGTAGGGTTTGAAATCAAAAGGCTGGGCTGAGGGCGGGCCTTGAGGTGCAGGGGTTTGAGCTGCTGTCTGGGACGTCTGCATTCCATCTGGTGTGCCTGGGATTGAGTCCACCTCTGCTCTTGCTTCTGATCCAGCTTCCCGCTAATGCGTCGGGGAGGCTGCAGGTGATGGCTCAGGTACTGAGTCCCTGTCATCATGTGGGAGGCCCAGATGGAGCTCCTGGCTCCTGGCCTTGGCCTGGCCCAGCCCTGGCTGTTGTAGACATTTGGGGGATGAACCAGCAGATGGAAGATTTCTCTCTCTCTCTCTCTCTCTCTCTCTCTCTCTATTTCAAAATGAAATAAAAATAAATCTTTAAGGAATATGATGTCCATCGTCAGATTTCCCCAAGAAGGTAAATTACACACTTAAGTCCCTAAGAAACCTTGTCTGCTGACAGGAGTTGAGACTTTGCGTGTTAATGGCATAATTTCTTAGTTTGCTGCCCGGTCCACACTGGGTGGTAAGAGGCCTGGCCTCCCCTAGTGTGAACAGCAGGAGGACGAAGCCGACCTTCCCGGCCCACCATTCAGCACCTCAGTGGTAACTTGGCCATCCTGGCCATCCCGCTGCTTCTGGGCCAGCTCCCTGTCCCCCACCCACCTCACCCATGAATCTGAGTTCAGCTATGGTTGGAATTTCTGATCCCGAGGGCCTTGTTAGTGGGTAATTGGTACTGCCAAGCTGCTCCGGTCACAAGTGCACACTAAAACACAGCTGTGGGGACAGTAGGTAAAGCTTGCTCCTTTCTGTCCATAAAAAAAATTATTGGCCTTCTAATTATCTCCATAAAAGTGAGAAAACTTGCCCGGCTTATTAGCACCTTCATTAACACTGGGAAGTAATTAGAGCTCCTAATAGCTTACTAATGAGCCCTAGAGAGGGAGTCATTCTCAAGGCATCTGCCTGCCACAACTGGGTCATTCCAGAGCCTCTCAGACCAGCGCCACAGACAGGGGCATTGCAAGTTCACCAGCATCGGCGGGGGTGGGTTTTGCATCCCTGACAGCTCACGTGCTGGCCGAGGCATCAGTCATACCCCCTCTCCAGAACCACAGCAGCCTCTGACCAGAAGGCTCTGGGCTGAGACCCACACTACGCTGTGCTGTCTGGGGCTGCTCTTCACAGACACGTGGAGGGACTCGGAGCCTACCTATCACCAGCAGGTGGCGCCATTACTTTATCTTCCGCACCTCCATCGCCAGCAAGGGCAGCGGGCACACCAGGAATGTGCAGCGCTTACCTGGGATTCTCTCCTCAGTGTTGACGTGGAGAACCACCAAGTTTCTCTGTGCAGCTCTCCTTCCAGTACCCTCACCGTGTCGGATTCTTTATCTGAGCGTCACAAGCAAAGCCTTACACACTTGCCAGCATCCCGAGGCAGCCAGCGGGCAGGCTAGAAGCAGCCACCGACTGCCTCCCCTACCCTCACCTTCCCGGACTGCCCTCCACTCTGCAGCCTCCTCCAGGAGATCCGCATCCGGACCCAGGGTCTCTCAAGTCTACTTATTGTTTCAGCCTAATCCTGAGCGTTCTCATCGCCCAGAGGCCGGGGCAGGCAAAGAGGAGGAGGCTCTGGATTTAAGGCTGGAAAGTGGATGTCCAGACCAGGAGGGCTGAAGCACGCATTTTTACACGTGTACGTTATGTCTCGCTCGCTACACGAAGGAACTAAACTATCACTACCTCTGTTTTATCTAGGTCACATTCACCTAATTCAGCGGCTTAACCAAGGCAGGACACTCCCCCCACCCCCACCCACAACCTGAGGGCATGCGGGCAGGCTGCAAATGGCTCCCCGCCTCGCTGTGACCCTGTGATACACACGGCAAAGTGCGCCCCAGGACCTGCAGCCACTGTGGGGCGGGAGCTATCGTGTGGTCTGACTCGGGCTCAGCATGGGCCAGGATGCTGCAGCTGCCTCCCCATTCCCTTGTCCTGGGTTTGTCTGACTCTGGCTGAACACGGCTGCGTGGCCACAACCACCCCCTCCCAAGCCAGCTTGTTCTCCTTGACATCTCTGGTTTCATTTCATTTCATTTTTAAAAATTTCTTTCACTTTCTTTGAAAGGCAGAGAGAGAGAGAGAGAGACAGACAGAGAGAGAGAGAGAGAAATCTTCCAACCACTGGTTCACTCCCCAAATGTCTTCAACAGCCAGAGCTGTGCCAGGGCTAAGCGAGGAGCCCAGAACTCCGTCTGGATCTCCCATGGGGGTAGCAGGGGCCCAAGCACTTGGGCCACCTTCTGCTGCTTCCCAGGCACAGGAGCAAGGAGCTGAATCAGAAGCAGGGCACCTGGGACACACACAGATCAGCACCCTAATATGGGACGCCGGCGTCACGAGTGATGGCCTAACCTGCTGCACTCCCGCGCCAGCCCCAAGATCTCTGGTTCTGAGAGCTTTTTCCTTGTGGGCTGGACTCCTCTGCTATACAAACAACGGCCCCCACAACTTCAGGATTTAGAACAACAACTGTTTGTCTTGTGTCTCGCATTTCGTGCATCAGGAATGTAGGGGCACCTGCTTGGCTGATTGCTCTGTATCCTCCGGTGGGGACAGAGGGCACACGGTGGCATTCAGCTGGCCATGGAGCTGGAGAGCAGGGTCCAGGCCAGCTTCTCTTGTCTGGTGCATGGCGGGGAGGGCTGAAAGCTGGGCTGGGCCCCTCCACGTGGCCTCCGCAGCACGCAGGCCTCGGTCGCCGGGCTTCTCCCGGGCGGGGTGGGATTCCCAGGGATCAAGTAGAGGCTGCATGGCTTTGTATGACCCAGCTGTGGAAGTCACACAACACCACTGCCGCTGGTTTTCCACGTGGGCCGGAGGGAAGGGAGGTAAACTCTGCCTGTCTGTGGCAGGAGCATGAAAGATTTGCCGCCATGTTTTGAAATCACCACATTCTGCTGACTTGAAATTTCCATGTCTGCCTCTGGCTGTACATGAACTAGTGTTCCGGCTTCTAAACCTCTCTGCCAAGGTTCAAGGCAGCTTTCCTAAACATGTAAGGCCAGTGGCCCAGTCTACCAAAGGATCCTTTGGCATGACACAGGAAGAGAGCAGCACTTTCATTCATATCTTAATTTTTTACAAAAGCTTTACTTATTTATTTGAAAGGCAGAGTTACAGAGAGAGAAAGGAGGAGAAGGGGAGAGAGAGAGAGAGAGAGAGCGAGAGAGAGAGAGATGTCTCTCATCTGTTGGTGCACTCCCCAAATGGGTGGCAGGGCCCAAGGACTTGGCCATCCTCCATTGCTTTCCTAGGTGCACTAGCAGGGAGGTGGATCAGAAATGGAGCAGTTAGGACTTGAACCAGTGCTCATATGGGATGTTGGCATTGTAGGCAGTGGCCTAACCCACCGTGCCACAATGCCAGCCCCCAAGTTTTAATTTTAGCCATGAAATGCAAAATGAGGCTGTGCTAACATGTTGCATATGGACAGACACTGGTGCCTGTCTCCAGGCCATATCTCAGGTGGAAACATTATCCAGAGTACGGGATATGGCAGCAGGAGAGAGAAGATGCCTGCAGACTGCTATCCGGGCCCTGAACTACCTGGGAGCCTCACGTGACCGAAGTTCTTGAGTTTATGGGTGTCGGGATGATCATATTTGGTTTTTTTGTTTGTTTGTTTTTAATTTGACAGAAAGAGTTAGACAGTGAGAGAGAGAGAGACAGAGAAAGGTCTTCCTTCTATTGGTTCACCCCAAATGACCACCACAGCCAGCGCACCGCGATGATCCGAAGCCAGAAGCCAGGTGCTTCTTCCTGGTCTCCCATGCTGGTGCAGGGCCAAAGCACATAGGTCATCCTCCACTGCCCTCCCGGGCCACAGCAGAGAGCTGGACTGGAAGAGGAGCAACCGGGACTAGAACCTGGTGTGCCGGCGCGGCAGGCAGAGGATTAACCAAGTGAGCCACAGCGACGGCCCCATATCTGGTTTTAATGAGATTAAAAACTCCTAAACAGGTGAAGAAATTTACAAGACATTTTGCCAGCAATCTTTAGACTGAAAAAAATGAAACAATTAATGTAAGCAAAATAACAAAAAAGAATTCAGAGCAGGTACTTCTAGAACTTCTGGCTTGGATGTTGAATTTGACATTAGATGAGGTAAAAATAATGCTAATCAGATCAGGCAAGATCAGACACACACACACAAACAAAATTATCAAGGCTTTTTGCAATAGGAATTTGCATATACTATTATTATGGATGTGCTATTTAAATAAGACATTTAAAAGCTACAGCTGATTTTATTTATTTTTATTTTATTTTTTTATTTGACAGGTAGAGTTATAGACAGTGAGAGAGAGAGACAGAGAGAAAGGTCTTCCTTCCATTGGTTCACTCTCCAAATGGCCACTATGGCCAGAGCTAAGCCGATCCGAAGCCAGGAGCCAGGTGCTTCCTCCTGGTCTCCCATGCGGGTGCAGGGGCCCAAGCACTTGGGCCATTTTCCACTGCCTTCCTGGGCCACAGCAGAGAGCTGGACTGGAAGAGGAGCAACCAGGACTAGAACCCCGTGCCCATATGGGATGCTGGCACCACAGACAGAGGATTAACCAAGTGAGCCACGGCGCCGCCTCTTATAGCTGATTTTATACCTCATCCAATTTTAGATATTTTTACGATCTGTAATGTACATATGACAGGAGTATATTTAAGCATACATATGGAGCATGCCAAGACATGTGAACACAAACTTGGGAGACCCATGCAATCTAATTTTGCCAAAATTTATTAGGCATGTCGTATGTGCACATACATACTGTGCTGAAGATATAAAGTCTTTGCCTTTATGTATTTTAAAAAGGAATCTAGGTTAAAAAGAAAATGTGATTAGAATAAAACATCATGCCAGAACTGCTTATAAAGTCCTGTGGGACCCTCAAGCAAGCGTAAGTCAGTCCTTCCTGGGGAGCTAACCGGGCAGGGCTTCACGGTGGAGGTGACATGTGAGCTGGGGTCAGAGTGACACTGTTATCCGTGTGACCAGGGCACTGTGGCAGACCCTTGCCCTCTCGCTCCACCTCTTCTTTGGAACTTTTCCAGCTCTGTTGCAGCTTCCCCTGAGCACGGTGATCCACGCTGCACACAGTGTTCTGGAGAGCGAGGAAGGAGAATATTTCCAAACTCCTTCCTGTGGACTCCTGGAACGAGGCTGTGTGCCCCTCAGATGCACGTCGCACGCCTGTTTGCAAATGGGAACTAGGCGTGAAGCTTGGCACCTCTTAGTGTCCTGACGAACGTGCGACGGATGGCAGTGAGCTTGACCACACCAGCTCATTAGCCACTGTCTTTGGGCAATAGCTAACAGCAATCCCTGTGCCTTTATCTTCAGCTCCCAGACCACAGATTTCACAGCCCCAGTCTGTGGGTCATGCGCTTCGCTTCACCTGGCCCTGGCCCGTCCACTCAGAGCTTTCGTGAGCTCTTCCTGAACTCGTGTCATCTGCTTGGGCCCTCACAACTAGGACGGCACAGTGTCATCTGCAAATCAACAAACTTCCAGGTCCCGAAAGGGAGATACGAATAGCCTGGCAAGAGGGTAAAGCCAACTCTCTCTTCTCTGCCAGCTCAGCCAGCCCAAGAAAAGGCCGGACCAAAGCGGGAACATCTCTGGAAGCCCCCTGAGTTCTGACAAATTCATCTAGGGCTTTGGAAATGTTCTTTAGCCTGGTTCCCAGCCTGTGGTGCAAACTGCCTTTGCCTAATGCTCTTTCGTGGGACAGCACTGGTGTGGGAGTAGGAGGTGTAGCTTGTCAGCTGGCTCCACTTCCTTGCCTCGGGCAGTACTTTGCACTGTCATGTAATTCTTCTGTGTCTTGAGAAATAGCAATGATCAGACTTACTACTACATCCCAGGGACCTATCGAAAGAATAAATGCAAGTTACACTCGTGAAAGGACCATGGGCAGGGGGCAGGTGTTTGCTGCCGTGGTTAAGATGCTGGGTGGGGGTGGTCACTGACATCGTACATAAGAGTGTTAATTGTTGAATTAGCAACAGGAGTCACTGCGCACTTGCTCCCCATGTAGGACTCTGTCCTCAATGAGTTGTACTATGAGAATTAACTGTAAAACTTGTTTTCAAACAGTTTGTGTGTGTGTATGTGTGTGTGTGCACGCAAATTGTTGAAAGCTTTACTTAGTATAGAGTTGGCCTTCTGTGTATAAAGTTAACTGAAAATGAATCTTAATGGAGAATGGGACTGAGAACGGGAGAGGGAGGAGGAGGAAGGGTGGGAGTGTGGGTAGGAGGGAGGTATGGAGGAAAGAATCACTATATTCCTAAAGTTGTATTTATGAAATTTGTACCCATGAAATAAAATATTTCTTTGGAAAAAAATAAAATGTAATCCACTGGCAATTATTTTCACCAAAAAGAAAAAAAAAGATGCCATGTGGGACAACCACAGCCTCATGAGAGTGCTTGGGTTCAAGTCCTGGCTCTGCTTCTGACTCCAGCTTCCTGCTAGTGCACACCATGAGAGGCAGCAGGTGATGGCTCAAGTGGCTGGGTCCCTGCCACCCACATGGGAAACTCAGATGCAATTTCCGGCTCCTGGGTTTACGTGGTTCAGCCCTGGCTGTCGCAGGCATTTGGTGAGTGAACCTGTGAGTGAGAGTCCTCCGTCTCTGGCTTTCAAATAAAACTGATTTTGACATTCTGAAAAAGAGAACTGCAGGATTCCATGGCTATGGAAAGGCAGTTTGTTATTTTGTTTTGTTGTTGTTGTTACTTTGCTTGGGTCGCCTAGGCAGTCTACACTAGATTCACCTTAGCAGTGCATCACAAGTTTCTTCCCTCTGCTCTTGTTTTTTAATTTTTAAAAAAGATTTATTTTGTTTATTTGAAAGACAGGGTTACGGAGAGATCCTCCATCCCCTGGTTTGCTCCTCAAATGGCTAAGATGGCCTGGGCCAGGACAGACTGAAGCCCAAATACTTGAGCCATCTTCCGCTGCTTTCCCAGGCTCATCCGCAGGGATGTTGGATTGGAAGTAGAGCGGCCGGGACTCGAGCCAGTGCTCACATGGCATGCTGGCGTTGCAGGCAGTGGCTTAACCCACTGTGCTACAGCGCCGCCCTCCCCACCCCCCTGCTCTTTTATTCTCTTTCTTTCCTGTGACCGTGGGCCCTTTCATCATGTCACTCCACCCCCCCACCTTTCCCTCAAAGTCCCGATTCTTCCTCCTTGCGGCCTCTGGCTCCAGCTGTCAGTCATCACTCTGGCACAGGAGATGAGGGGAGACAGCCCTTCCCAGCTCAGCCTCAGAGGACATAGCAACAAAACAAACAGATCCATCTGTTGCTAATACCGTTTGCTTCTTGGAGCACACTATGATAACTGAGTCTCTGTCAGTTTCCTCTGGCTCATCAAAGACTTCCTTACATTTTCCCAATTTGGAAAATCACTCTCGCCGTTCAATTATTGAACAACTAAACACCCACGTCTGGCTTTCCCGACTCCTCATTGGAAAGCAGTGCCCTCACTTTCACTTGGGAGGCTTATGCATCACATGATATCTTACCACAGCATAGTCCAGACCTGGAGAGAATATTTATAAATAACGGGTCCAAATGAAACCCCACACCAAATGAGCATCCAATCAATAAGCAATGGGTATGGATTTGAAGCTGTCTCCAAGGGAGTTCCAGGTTGGAGAAACCGGCTGACAGGGAGCAGAGCTAAGAATCCATCTGACCTTGTTCTGGGATAAGACTTCCTGGTTGCTGGTGGTATCTGTATGGGGAGGTAGCCCAGCATTCTGCAGAGGATCAGCCTGGGTAAAGTGAGCCTGTTTCCTAGATGAAAGGAAGCGCAGGATAAAGGCCTAGGGGGTTCCATAGGGCTGGAGCTGGTGGAACACTGTACCAGTAGGATGAAGTTGGCCCTAAGTAATGGAACATCCAATAATTAGGGAATACCTTGGTTCACACAAATAAATAAAAATGTGTAGAGGTAGATCAACCTTCAGGTGCAGTCGGATCGGGGCTCTGCCTTAGTTTCTCTGGAATCCCCAAAAGTCCACCCTCCCCCATGGGTTGGCCTTACGCTCAGCCCATCCTCCCTCTCAGAAGCAAAGTAGCGACAGCAGTGCTCCATCACAACTTGGTATCATCCATTCCAAAGGGCGAGAAAAAACAATCTTCTTCCATTAATGGACTCAGGAGTAGAACTCCTGCACTTCTTGGCGATTCAACAAGCCTAAACCAATCATGACTGTTTACAGAAAGGCGTGCTGACCCAAGCTTGGGTTACATGACCATCCTTCCAACCAATAAGTGGCAAGAGGGGTGGAGTTACAGTGAAGGCATTTAGATAATCAGGACTCTCCCAGGAAGCTGGGGCTGAGGTCAGTACCACCCGATCCACATGGCTGCAGGGCAAGGGAGACGAGTGAGGGGATCCCTGAGGAAGATCTGGGTGCTGTTAGGAAGAGATGCATGGAATGGGGTCTGGTGGAACTGTCCCTGCATTCTGCTTGAATCAAGGAACTGTGGAGAGGAAAGAAAAGAAATCCACGTGACAGCCACTGACAGGGCCCAGGGAGTGTGGTGGGGATCTGGACTACAGGGAGGAGTAAGGTGGGCGCAGAACCAAGGAAAGAGGGAAGGGGATCCCGGACGGGGCTGTTTTAAATAAAATCCGTTTTGAAGCTCCAGCAACGTTTTAGCTGTGTAACGAGGACGAGGGTAAGGTTTATTGCTGGGCCAGGGCCAAGAGCCACACTGACCCTTGAAGTTATAAAAATAGTGCTCATTGGCGAGAGAAAGAATAGAGGGCTAGAGCCAGGTTCTCTGGGTCAGACCTCCACCCCAGCAAAGAGTCTATCTTGAATGTCAATTCCTGTATTTCAGGTGCAAAGAAGGGGACATTTCTTTGTACCTCCCTGAGATGTAGAAATGTGACATCTCCAATTTAGAGAAACTGAGAGCCGTTACAGATAAATCCAGGCCTCTTTGGGATTCCTGACCCCTAATCCATTCCACTCTTTCTCCTCTCAAACCCTCTGTTCTCTTGCCTTTTATTCCTCTTCTACTTTCTTTTTCCCAAAGGCCTTCCCTTTCCCCATCTCTTCTGTTGATCTAGTATCTTTATCCCTTTTTTCCTCCTCTGTATCCATATTCTTTCCCCTTCATATTCCCCTTTTTCCTTCCTCCTGCTATTTGATAATTGTTGACTTTTTTGAAAGTCATGGTCAATTTATTGGGATTATGTAATCACCAAAATGTAAATGATTTGGCTTATCCTTCCCCATATAGTCTTTTTTATAGCATTTGATTTTTTTATTTTTTAAGATTTCTCTTACTTTATTTTTTAAAGATTTTTTATTTATTTGAAAGGCAGAGTTACAGAGAGGCAGAGGCAGAGAGAGAGATAGGGAGAGAGGTCTTCCATCTGCTGGTTCACTCCCCAAGTGGCCACAACGGCTGGAGCTGGGCTGATCCGAGGCTAGGAGCCAGGAGATTCTTCCAGGTCTCCCACATTGGTGCAGGGTCTGTCTTTTACTGTTTTCCCAGGCCATAGCAGTAAGCTGGGTAAGAAGTGCAGCAGCCAGGACTTGAACCAGTGCCCAATGGGATGATGGCACTCAGGCAATGGCTTTACCTGCTACACCACAGTGCCAACACCTCTTATTTTATTTGAAAGGCAGAGTTACAGAGACAGAGAAAGAAGGAGAAATGGAGGGGTGTCTTCCAACCACTGATTCACTCTCCAAATGGCCACAGTGGCCAAGGCTGGGCCAGACCTATGCCAGGATTCAGGAGCTTCTCCCAGGTCTCCCATGTGGGTGCAGGAACCCAAGCATTTGAACCATCCTCTGTTGCTTTCTCAGGCACCGGGGCAGGGGGCTGGATAAGAAGTGGAACAGCTGGGACTTTAACCAGCACCCACATGGGATGCTGGCACTGCAGGCAGCAGCTTAGTGCACCATGTCACATTGGCAGACCTCTCCCTCCCTCCATAGTCTTTTTTTTTTTTTTTTGACAGATAGTGTTAGACAGTGAGAGAAAGAGAGAGAGAAAGAAAGGTCTTCCCTCTGTTGGTTCACTCCCCAGATGGCCACTATGGCTGGCACTGTGCCGATCCAAAGCCAGGAGCCAGGAGCCAGAAGCCAGGTGCTTCCTCCTGGTCTCCCATGCGGGTACAGGCACCCAAGCCCATGGGCCATCCTCCACTGCACTCCGAGGCCACAGCAGAGAGTTGGACTGGAAGAGGAGCAACCGGGACTATAACCCAGTGCTCATATGGGATGCCGGTGCCACAGGCGGAGGATTAACCAAGTGAGCCACGGCACTGGCCCCTCCGTATAGTCTTGAACTTGATCTTAAAAAGTGATTACAGAATGTAGAGGAGAGAGAGGTTCACAGAACCAGTGTAGCCAGGACAGCCAGCTCCTGTGTGAGTTCAGAAAGTCACTTCAGCTCTCTGAACTGCAGCTTTCTCTACTTGAAAAACGCAGAGATGGGTTAGATAGATATTTCAGGGCCCTTGCAGGCCCTTTAAGACATCTGAGAAGGGAGTTTGGGAGGCAGTTCTTCTGTGACATCTTACATACTGGGGATGGAGACCAGCCAGTGCTAATTGTTAGCTCACAGCAATGACCACGCTCAGCCCTCCTCACACCTTGGCAGGAGAGTCACAAGGTCACTGTCATACAGAGGCTCCCTGGTGTCACTTGAAGATGATATCAGAAAGCAAAACTCGCTTTATCTGGGAGTGTCTTGATTGAAGGAACAGTTTGTGAGATCTGGAACGCTTTGTCAGACCCAGAATCTGGCTGAGAGGTGTTTATTTTCTCTCTTTCAGCCTTGGAGTCTGTCATCCTACGGTCTTTCCCCGTCCACAGTTTCTGATGAG